AAAATTGTGCATGTTCAAATAAAGTGCTTAACTTAAGAAAAATCAAATAAAGAAAGCAAAGGCTTGAATTTCCCTTTTTCTGTTTCACATCTTGCCTCAACAGTCTCAACCAATTTTACAGAGAATAAATCTCAACACATCTTAACAACTGAAGTTTTAGAATCACTTCTTCMCCTCTTTTATCCCACTCCTCCACTTTTTTGCTCAGTGAGAGAATTGAGCTCTAGCTCGTCCTGTAGTAGTAGTATCACGTGGGGAGGCTTAACGCGCATGCGATCTGTGCAGTATTAAAACCACTACCGTAAAGACTACAAAAGCTGCGCCAGTTACAGTGGGCGTTCCACCCGGCGCCATCTTGCCGTTGCCTGACTCCTCCTAGTTCCTGGCTAACCCATAAATGGGCAAAGAGGAAGAGCGCGAGGTAGATGGGATCTGGGGACAAAGAGCCATTCAAAAGACTGGCTCATGTGGCTCATTTCTATATTTATTCACTTTAAAGAAGTAAGAATTATAATTTCGAGCTCAGATTTCCCACCAATATTTGAGTTTGAATTATTCTGAAATATTGATTATAGCTTCATTTGACATGTGTGGACAAGATTTTAAAGTCTGATATGGAGTCATTGTAAATATTCCACTGCCATATCCCTCTGAGTTGACAGTGAGATCACTATTTATTTCACTAAGTGTGTGTAAAACTACTTTGACTTATGTTATTCATGCAACACCGAAACACTTAGAAATACACAATAAAAAACTAAGCAGGCTACAATGAAGTTCCATGCAAAAGCTTTTAGGGCAAATTTCCACACAAGAACATTTTTAACGATACAGAAAAACTCAAAACAATATTTTAAAATTATATAATAAAGGCTTATAATCAAGATTAAAGGTGCTGTAAAAAAATACTAAGTTGTCGGTCAGTAACATATTGTCTTGTTTTAGTGCAAATTTTAGAGAAAAACGTGTCACACAAGTTTTAACAGTGGGGTGTTGAGTTTTAAAATGCCTGTGCAAATTGTTTGTGGAGCAAGACTGAAATGAGATGATCTTCTGGCAAATACTGCACTTAGCCTCACTGTCTGCCTCAAGCGAAAAGTGCATCACAATGCTGCTCCTTTTGCTTTGGCTCATTTTGCAGAATGATGACGGACAGCCCCCCCCCCTCTCCTTCAGGCTGCTGTTGACTGCACTGCCGACTCTGAGGCGCTTTTTTTTTTTTTCTTTGCTTTTCACTGTGGCACTCCCGTGAAGGGAGCGTGCAAATATTGCAGTTGTTGTCTCATGCAAACATTGCATGTTATGCAGGTGGGTTACACTATGAATGAAGCAGCAGTAACTCTGGGATCTGCAGAGATGCTACAGTACCAATTTCGTATGGTCTGAGGATGAGGCAGAGCCAAGTGAAACTTCTCTTGGACATATTCATAAGCCTTAGAAAGAGTAGAAGTGCAGCGTAGTTGCGAATTGCTTTAAGGTTTCTGAAAAGAACGCCCTTTTCCTCTTTTGTATTCTCTGAAAGATCTCTCTGGGAACCTCATCAAGGCCATCAGGAAGAGAGGCACATTCAGTCCCTAAAAAAAATGACAAGAAATGATCATGTTATTGCACAGTAACTGAGTGTCATTGATACAAAAGGCTTGTGTGTTCAAGTTCTGTAGATAAAAAACTCTGTACACAGTTCATGCTAAAATTGTAGTTGTATGTAAATATTAATAATTACTTTCAAAGATTACTTAGGCTTGCACAGTGTGTCACAGTATGACATGTGGGCGAAACATTTTTTATCAGGTACAGGATCTTTGCATTAAATCCAAAAACCAAAAAGTTATCTTGTTGCTTTATTGGTGAAGTCTTCATGTAGTAATTTGCATCAAGGGGACATTAAACTTCACTGGTGTGTCAGTAAACCCACCTTAACAATGATGGCTCAGAGCCACTAAGTGTTTAGTAATGTGCAATGTAATGTAATGCAATAAATCATTAACCCATATCATGTTCAACAATTAATCAATTTAAACCATCAAGTTGCTTGTTGTCTCAGAGGATATTAAAACATTTCGGTGTACCCTTGTGTCAATGCTCAAATGATCTAATCCATATGTTTGCATTGCCTCTTTTTGTGTTATTTTGGGCTTATTTCTATATTTGAAGTTATTTCATATTCAAATGGATACTATTTCATTCCATAATCACATTTGTAACACACAAGTGACATACGTTGAATGGGTGTTAGTGAGTGTGAAAGTGGACAATTCAAGACTGATTGCAACAGAAAAACTTAGTATTCAATGAAACCACACATAATGACACATCAAGTGA